TATATATATATATACATATAGAGAATGCCGCATGTTGTCCGCTCCTGTATATATATATATATACTGATCCTTCTCCCCTAACTGATTAATCAATTAACCAGCGTTTATTAATCGCGACCGCGAGTGTGCACGTTTTCTTAAATCCTTGAAAATAAAACGGACTTTTTCGCTGGGTGTATATAATCAAACGCAATCGCCGTAGTTCAAGTAAAAGAATAAAAGAAAAAAATGGAAAAGGAGGGGGAGGGGGAGGAAAGAATTCACTTTTCGCCGAGACGTAAGATTTCTATTCCCGAAAGATTTAGTATAGAGAAAGTCTTGTGGTTGGCAGATAGTAGAACCTCTGTAAATTTTAAGCATGACGCTTCCTAGCGCTCGTCCTTTTAGCAGATGCGACGGTGATTCCGGCAAAGTTTAATCGACGATTTTTCGACGCGTTTTATCGAAAACAATTTCTCGCACCGCCACTCGTCTCTCATTTGACAATATCTTACAATACGTAACATAGGATACTTTTGATAACTCTGTAGTAGAGGAGGCAGGCTTAAGCGCTAATACCGGACATTCATCACCTCCCAGTGACTCTTTTGTTGTAAAAAAAGGCGTATCTTTTCACAATACTTCCGACAATAGCCGGATTGTTCCTTCGCGAGACGGCCGAAAGGTTGTAGGGCTGGGAAGTGTCGTACTCGAAATTAATATGCAACGTTGTGTGTTCCGCTTCGTAGATGACAAAAAAAGCCACATTCTGAACGTAGCAGCAGCAGCAGCAGTCGGAAGACGTAGTTTAAACCTCGCATGACGAGTCTCTCTCGCGATATTCTTCTTCTATCGCACACGTATCGAACTTTGTACAATTCGCGACACACATAAACACAGAGACACACGAGAGCACACAGCACACAGACGATTACATGACCGAGATGATACATCCGTATTTGTCTACGGATTTAACGAGGGAAGGGACAAAAAGAAATAATCCTTACACACACGTCTCTATATATATATATATATATATATATATATATATATCAATTCTACGTATAAAATTTGTTACCTTGTTACCTATATAGTTGTCACTACTATAAAAAATTCTCTTCCTTTTTTTTCTGGTCGT